TTACCTATACTATTTAGGGGGCTCCTTATTATAAGTATAATTGAATGGGCCCCAGAACCCCTATTCTAATTCTTAAGGCCCCTATATTACTCAGACTGAAAGTCAGATCGATGACTGCAAATTCAGGGTCTGGGTTTAGGGTTTTAGGGTTTAGCGTTTTAAGGTGTTAGGGTTTTAGGGTTTTAGGGTTTTGGGGTTTAGGGTTTCGGGTTTAGAGTTTAGGGGGCCGACTAAACCTCAGTTTTTTTCCTGCGAGGATGTCTTTCTGGAGCCCGTGACACACACGCGTCCGCCAAGTCGGACATCGGATGATGCCAAGGCTTGGGTGCAACATAAGGGCCTTAATAATTACACTAGGGTTTTGGGTGTTCCTTTCAAGGGTTCCTTAAAGGGTTGTGTAAGGGCTACTATAAGGGTTTAGTAGGGGCCTTAATAATTAGAATGGGGTTTGGGGTATATTAAACTCTAACTGCAATAAGAAGGAAACCCTAAACACTAATGTAGGGGCCTTAATAATTGGAATAGGGTTTGGGGAAATAAGGAACCCCTCAACACCCTATTCCAATTTTTAAGGCCCCTACATTACTTGGAGGATCATGGGACTTAGTAAGTAAGGTTATAAGTCCCGTAATTGGGGTTATAAGTATAGTTACCTTAGTTATGACCCTACTTACTAAGTCCCATGATCCTTTAAGTAGTGTTTAGGGTTTCCTCCTTATGGTCGGGGCTGTCACCAGAGGCAGATGTACTCGTAGCCTGCATGCCCTGCATGGAACTCTTCGACCCTAAACCCTAAACCCTAAACCCTAAACCCTGAAACCCTAAACGCTAGACCCTAAACCCTAAACCCTAAACCCTAAACCGCAAACTTTGGGAGGTGTTGTCCCTGGCAGGCCATACCTGTGACCTCAAAATTCCTATAAACATAGTAGGTTATGACCCCTTAATTAGGCCCTAAACCCGAAACCCTAAACCCTAAACCCTGAACCCTGAACCCTAAACCCTAAACCCTAGAATCCTGAACAGGATCTTCGGCCTGGGTCGATGTCTCTCTTAATTTCACCTGTACCCTAAACCCTAAACCCGAAGCCCTAGGCAGCCCTAAGCCCCATAAGCGGCTTATGGTGGTTAGGCTTGATCCCGAGACCCCTAAACCCTAACCCCTAAACCCTAAACCCAAAAACCCTAAAACCCTAAACACTCAACCCAAGCCCCAAACCCCAAACCCCAAACCCTAAACCCTAAACCCTAAACCCTCAACCCTCAACCCTCAACCCTAAACCCAAACCCCTAAGCCCTAAACCCTAACACCATAGACCCTAAACCCTAAACCCTCTAACTTAGGCCTTCTGGTTTTGAGCTGAAAGATTTCGGCGGCCCGGGGGTTCAAGACCGCAAGCCGGAAGCTCATGTGAAACCGTTTCAAAGTAGGGGCCTAAATCTTTTTTAGGGGTTTAGGGTTTAGGGTTCGGGGTTTAGGGTTTAGGGTTTACGGTTTAGGGTTTGTGTTTAGGGTTCAGGGTTTAGGGCTGTTTTGAGGGTTCCTTTTTGTAGTTATAGCATACTATGCCCCAAAAGCCCTAAACCCTAAACCCTAAACCTTAAACCCTAAACCCTATACAGGCACTCCGGGCTCAAGATCCCGAAATTGCAGTCCCCTAAACTCCCAAACCCAACGCCCCCAAAATTTTGGGTTTAGGGTTTAGGGTTTACGAAACCCGCAGACCCTAAAGCTACACCCCGTGACACCTCAAAAGCAACGAGCCCTAAACTCCGAACTCCTCCACCCCGAAGCCCAAAACCTCGAGAATTCTTGTTGCTGAGCAGGAGTATAGCTTAGAGTATGTCGGGCTTAGGGGTGCAGGGTTGAGGGTTTTGCGACAAGGGTTCAGGCTGCCTGGAACCATATCGTATAGGTAGTCTTATTATGATTCAAGATATTATCCCCTAAACCCTAAACCCTAAACCCTAAACCCTAAAGACCTTAAAGCCTAAAGCCGACCCACTAGTGCCTATGAGCAGAGCTCTCTGCGTTTGCCAGGCCGGCTACGTACATGGCGGGTCGACGCCCGACGCCTGGTTTCTGGATGACCGTTTCCGTCATTGGCTTGAGAGTCCTTTAAGCACGGATTCACGGGTGTATGAGGTTTCTGGTGTCTGTACATCCTCCTGAACCCGAACAGGAGAGGATTTCGAACAGGGTTCCTTTAAAGGGTTTTATAAGGGTTTCTATAAGGGCTCCGAGCCTGTATCGTACACCCCAAGCTTGGACCTTAACGTTCCTAAACCCTACCTTACTTAACCTGCCAAAACCTACTCCTCTAGGGTCCCTGTCAATTCCATATCAGATTGTAATACGAACCTACAAACAAGTACGCTATGGTAGCTTGAGGTAAATTTTAAACCCTAAACCCGAAGCTCTGAACTCCAAGCCCTAAACCTTGCATGCGGAAAAATCTTGAACCTCACCCGTTGTACAATCCCTGAGACTGGGATTCACGCAGAAGCCTGAAGAAGTGGACTGTTGTGTAGGCATGTCTCTACCTTGGCCAGGAAACAGAGATAGAGATAGTATACAGGTGGGTTTAGGGCTTTGGGGTTAGGGTTTATGACTACTGTTCTTTAGGCATTTCCCTACCTTCACCACCAAGCAGAGATAGTATACAGGTGGGTTTAGGGGTTAGGGTTTATATCTGTATGAAGACACCGTAAGGAATCGTATTGCCAATTTTTCAGGCCTCTCGACAAAGTCTACACACTAAGCCCGGACACCCTAAACCCTAAACCCTAAACCCCAAACCCTAAACCTCAAGCGAGTCAGGGCCTCAACGGCCTCTCCAGCCCATGGCTGGTAACTCAGAGTTCTCGCGGATTTCGGTTGTTGGATGCATGGGTTTAGGGTTTAGGGTGTAGGGTTTAGGGTCCAGGGTTCAGGGGCTAGGATATTATAAAGGCGAAAAAACAACTACGTATACTATTTTGGGGGCTCCTTATTGGAATTATAGTAGAATAGACCCCAAAACCCTGTTCGAATTAGAAAGGCCTCTAAACCCTAAACCACCGTAAAGAACCCCTTTAAGGAGCCCTTTCAAGGAACCCCAAGCCCTGTTCCAATTACTAAGGCCCCTACATTAGGCTAGTGCTTAGCCCTACCGGATCTTGAGACCCCGCACCCGAAACCTCACCCCCTACAAGCAAAAACGCCTAAGTGCTTCGGGTTTCAGGGTCTGGGGTTTAGGGTTTATAAGTTTTAGGGTTCAAGGTTGTTCAGATTCGGGTCTAGGGTCTAGGGTCAGTAGTTTCGAGTTCACACTTCAAGGTTCGAGGAAAACCCCGAACCCCTAAACCCCTAAACCCTAAACCCTAAACCCCTAAACCCTTAACCCTAAACCCTAAACCCCTAAACCCTAAAACCCTAGATGTGAGAGAGTACTGCTCTGATCTAGGGGTGCGTGTTCACGGAAACGGGGCTTCGAGGGTCCTTGTGGTTGAGGAGGCTTAGGGTTTAGGGTTTTAGGGTTTAGGGTTTGGGGTTTAGGTGTCTAGGGGTTTAGGGGGTTTGGGTTTAGGGGCTTCACCTGAGCCCTAAACTGCATTCCTTACAGCACGCATGGTGCAGTCGCTACTCACAACAATAGCCGTGTACTAAGTTAATGCTCTCAATAGCAAATAATGCTATCAATAGCAAATAGTCTTCTTCTTATTGTTATAATGTGTGTATTATTTTCGTCAGCATTATTATTACCATTTTTTATGGTTATATTTTTGTTCTTATTCTTTTAGTAATATTACCATTATTCTTATTATGGTTAAACTCTTATTATGCTTATGATTATAATTATTACTACTATTATGTTGTATTACAGTTCAAATATTACTATGTCATTAGCCCTATTCTTATTATTGTTCTCAGTATCATCACTATTATTATTGCTATTATTGTTATTACCATCACTAATAATTCTTATTGCTGTTATTCGTATGTTATTCTTAGTACTGTTAGTATTTGTATTGTTGCTATTTTTGTAGTTATTATTACTATCGGTATTGTTACTATCCAGTTCTTACCCCAACGCCTTATTCCATCCGTTGGGTTTCCCAAGGTTCCACCATGTCGAGAAGCGGCACAGCGCCAAATCTCGTGCAGGTGCACGTGGGGAGTTCTCTAAATTAGGGTCTCCATTTAGGTCCCTGCTGATCATCAAAGTCTTGGGTGTTCGGGTTGTCGTTAAACGCCATGGCTCAGCGCAGCAGAATCTTTTCCTACTAGCGACAAGCGAAGCTTCAAGCTTACATATGCCTGAACATCCTTGGCTGACGATTCGACTAACCCATGTCCAGACTCATGGAGCTCTGCTCCACTTCAGCCTTCACGCAAGCGGGTGTCACGCAGTCAGGCATGCTACCCACTTCAACACTCCTCCTTGGGCGCATCGTTCCATTCGGAAGGGAAGCCCACATCCCCTACATGCCCTGTCTGCTCAAAGCTTGCAGGCAATACCTACAAAACTGACGTCGGTGAACATGAGTAACGTTGTTCAGGGCATGACAGTTGGGGAAGATATGAACTACTCCGGGAGTTCTGGAGGAAGTTGTAGTTAAATTCATACTAGTCATTTGATCATACGTGAGCCCGGAAGGCACTTCAGTCTGTACACCTATGCTTCTCCGGGTCGGGGAATCGTTTCTTCCTAAAGGAACTTGGGAGGAGGAGGCACTCTGGTCAGCAGATGAGCGAGGTTCCTCAAATCCAAGTGAGGGAGGCGATAGGGAGACCGGCTCCCTTCTGGCAAAGGATGGCATTGGAAGGTTGGAACCTGATGCCTGAGCTGGGGTTGTTGCAACCTGCACATGCACGTAGGGCTGGGAAACATCGTCAGCCTCAGATGACTGTCTGCGGTTCCTAATACCCGTTTCAACCTCTATAGCCTGCCTAACAGCCCTCTGACGCCTCTCCCTCCTAGACTTAGCCTCACTATCGTCATCTTCTCTAACCATCTTTACAGAAACTTCCTCATACTGCTGAGACCTGTACCTCCATTGCAAACAATACTTGCCTGACTCCCAAATGAAAAGAATACTGAAGGTAAGCAAAACCAGTATTATCCACAGATCCAAACTCAAGGGTTCTTGGACCTCATCCTCATCTTCGACAGAATCACATTCCATCATCTGAATCATCAGGATCAACATCAACAGCCTCAACCGGTTCTGACCTTGGCCTTGGTGGTAGGCTTGCTGTGCATCGCGACGCGCTACATCCAACCTTATAGTCCTAACCCTAGGGAGGTCTGGGCCTAAACCGATTAAACCGCTTAAGGTATAGTGTCGGGGGCCAGGCAGAATCTTCGTCAACGCATCTGCCAACTGGCGTTCGCCCGGGCAGTGTTCGACCACCAACTCTTGCCTTTCAACAAGATCCTTCACAAAATTCGCGCGCAGTCTGAGGTGACGAGTTCGTTGAGAGCCTCCACCCTCAGCTAGGGTCAGAGCTGCCAAGTTGTCTATCAAAAGTTTCTTCGTCAATTTTGTCATCACGACCTCTCTCATCAAGGCTTCTATACTTTGACCTAGAACTACGCCCTCGCAAGCTGCAATGAGTTCTGCTTCCGCCGTGGAAAGTGACATGATCGTTTGTCGCTTTCCTTTCCACAATATAGGAGATCCGGCATACATAATGAGCACACCAGTAATGGAGTAGCAACCGTAGGGAGAAAATGAGGCATCTGTATATATGAGGATCTCCTTCTCGGCCTCCGGTGCTGGAACCAATGAAAGCTTGTGCTCCAACGTACTTCCCAGAAATTGCAACAACCGTATGCCCATCTTGTAAACAAACGACGGCGATCTAGTTGTCCACGAACCCATTAGAGAAACTGCAAAGGCCAAGTCAACCCTGGACCTCTGTGTCAACCACAATAATTCTCCTGTTATCTTCTGAGCCATCCGAAGCGTGTTCTCATCATAGGTCTCCTCCTCTGGGAGGTCCTTTACCCAGTCCTTGGGTAAGACACCTTGCTTGGCTCGCGGAGCGATGTTGTAGCACCTCAGGAGCTCCTGGATATATCCTCGTTGTCGCAAGGAAAAACCCAACAAGTTCCCCTCCAGATTGTACTCAGACTGTATCTCGACTCCCAGAAACGTTATTGCAGCCTCCGGTGTTGTCGTCTGTAAGTCTGTGCACTCCCAGGTACTCCTTATCCACGCGTGCGCTAGCTCGGCTTCGGCCCTTGAAGTTAACAGCATGACGTCGTCCACGTATACGATTGCATGACCTATGGTCTCCCCCGTCTCCAGTACTAGGGTCCATAAATTCCCTTCCACATCAGATTGGGACATCTTCACGACGCCTCTCGTTCCAACCCAAGATGCTTGTCTGAGGACGCTGTCGCGGTGGTCCCCCCACCAGCGGGGGGACTGCCGTTGGCCGTAGATTGCCCTTTCTATATACCAAAGCTCCCCTGGCTGGGTAATCTGAAGTAATTCAAGAATTCGTGGCGGACGGAGCATGATGCGGGTCTTCTCAGCCTCCGGGATGGGGGCTAATAAAAACGCGTTCTTGATATCAGTTATAAACGCTGAGTACTTCATCAAGCCAGCATGTATCAGACAAGTGCGTAATACATCAGCGGGTATACCACCTGCATAGACATCAGTAGTAGCGTTCTTTGTTTCGAAGTTACCGCATCCAACCACCCGGACCTTCCGTCGATAGAAGTCCTTAGCGGATCCAGGCTTGACTGTAAATACTGCCTTCGCCGGGAGTATCTGAGTACCTTCCACCGCTGCTTCTCGAAGTGCCTCTTGCCCAAACAGTCGTCGTATGCCCCTCATTCCTTCTAAGGCATTAACTTCAGCAGTTGCTGCGCTCTTCCACTTTTCCAAGTGAGCCCTCACCTCCGCTGGTGCCACGTTGTGCACCACTTGTAGCGGTGATTCAAGACCCTGTAGGATCCCTTCAACGTTAGGAGTGAACATTGACTCATCAACACGCCTTACCTGGGCTTCCTCACTATGATCCGGCACCTGAGACCTGTGCGACTCCAAAGCACGCATGGGATCCTCAGTCGGAACACCAATGCTTACGCTCGGTGTACCTGACCTGCTTGGCAACCCGATACTGGACCCAACGACCTGAGAGCTAGAACTTTGTTCCGGAGCTAGACTGCTAACTGCAAACGACGACGTCACGGGAGACTTCTCTGGAAGATTTGACTGAACTTCAGGGGTATCATCATTAACCCTAATCATTCTACACCTATAATCTTCACTAGAACGTGGTTCGGGAGACTTCTCTGGAAGATTTGATTGAACTTCAGTGGTATCTGCCACCACATTCAACGCATCAAGGGTTCCATCTACAGCAAGAATCTCTGACTCCTCCTGAGTTAGTTGTCCCCATGCAAGTTCCCCATCATCATCATCCCATAAGGCCTGGAGTCTCACGCATTCCTCGGCATAACTCTCTGGCTGACCTACGGGACAATGTGGAACATCCGCAGAACCAGAAGGCTTCTCACCACCCTGATGCGGGGAATACTGATCGGGTTCACGTTCAAGCGACGCTCGCTTAGCCGCCTCTATATCTTCCCAGCTCACACGTGTTCCTGAGGCCGATGACTGAGGAGGTGCATGTTCCAGTGCGGGTAGAGCTGGTTGCTCTTGGCCAACAAGTGCATATGGTCCATCCCCAATGGCAGCCTCATTAACTCCCAAACCCTGAAGAGGTGGAGGGGGATTCCTATAATCCAAAGTACGGTTCTGAAAGACCCATGGGATCTGGCGCTGGCTCCTGTCAAACAGCCTAACCTCACCAGTGGTTAGTGCACACAGATTCGGCTCCTCTGGTCTACACACCCCTTCAGGATGAATCCCCCTCATGATGCGCTTAGCAACCTCACCCGGTATACCAAACTCCATCAAGTCCTCCACATACAAGAACGGCAAATCCGCCGGGGACTGTACTCCCATGAATGTGAGCCTCCCACAGTAGCTCTCTGCGTTACGTTCGGCTAGATACCTGGCCATCTCCATCTCCTCCAAGTTGGCCGGTTGATAGTTGTGAGGTTCCCCATTGGAAGAATCCCAACCTATAATCTGGGTGACAGAGTCCGGTTGTATGTCTTGCTCAAGGGACTCAGTTGTTGGCAGATTGGGTGAGTCCTGAGGCTGAGGCTCCTCCTCAGCTTCTGAATCCAAGTCCGAATCATTCTCATTCCAACCTACAGCCTTGACCTGCATGGCTGGGTTCATGGGCCTAGGGAATCCAGTCGCTTCCAACCTCAACTTGTCTTCATGCACCAGTTTCTCTGAACCCAGAGGCGTGTACCCAACTACTATCCAATCTTGGACCTTCTGTACAGCATGCGGACATCTTGGATCGAAAGAGACTGGTCCTTCGCTAATCACTGAAACGTCCTCAGACTCCCAATCCACGGCAGGTCCAGCCTGTGTCTTCGGCCTTGAGTCATACTCCTTATCAACCCACAACCTTAACTGACCCGGGACGTACAACGTGTGATTCACTGTACCTGGTTCATTCCGAAAGTCCCTGTGCAGTGGAACATCCGTGGCACTGACCACCATCAAGGCTGTCCAAGTAGGTCGTTGTGACATATCATGGTGCTTCAAGCACTTCATCAAAAACCCATTCAGAAACTGTGCGATATGTGGATGGCGCTTCGTCAACTTAGTAACCCCTCGTTTACCTCCATGACAATAAGTCCCAAACACAAACCTGTCAACAAACATCCCCCGCCGATCTGCGGATGCAGACCCACGCTTGTCAACCAGGTGCATTAAGGTTCGGAATGCTTCATCAGTATATGTTGCCTTCAAAAGGCACTTAGCTGCGAAGTCATCAGCGCTCAAGTCAGATGTGCATTCCACAAACCGCACAGCTGTCTTCCTCCTCAAGCGCCTGGAAGGTAATGGAGAACTGGGATCCTCAAGATCCAAGTTGTCACTTACAGCCTCTACCTCTTCTTGCAGAGCCGGTATGTCCAAACCTTCAAGCTTATGTGGATCGACAAGCTCCGACTTAAATCCTCTTGAAGCCACTAAGTTGCCCTTATCGGTTACGAGAACATGGCCCTCGGAAATCGTCAGGTGCGGCGCTGCGTACCTAGCCTCTATCCACCTCCCGACAAGAGGCTTCGAAGCATCCGCTGGCTGTTTCACTCGATGTAGAACTGTCTGGCCAAACATGGGGAGTCGCGGCAAACCGAGAATACTTCGGTTATGAGAGCTCACAGCCCACCTCGCGGCAAGAGGCCAAAAGTTTATGGGGAGTTCCGCAGCCTTAAGGAGGGTCCTAGCACGGCTTTTCACCCACCCAACAGTTCGCTCAGCCAACCCGTTACTCTTCTTATCTGTCGGCAACGTATGCTGTAGCCTGATGTTCTGCTCAGTCAACCATCTGGTCAGAGCCGTACTGGTAAACTCTGTTCCCAAGTCCGCATGCAACACCCGAACTGGAAACTTCTTATTAATTTCCAACACCATCCTTTGCAGAGCGTCAGCCACATCGGCTCCGGTTTTGCTCCTCAGTGCAACGAAGTATCGGAATACGACCTGTTCCACAGGTTGTGCCAAGTCCTGAACCATGGCCCTTAATCCTTCGTGATCTGAAGGAAGCTCTGGGGCGGACTCTAGAGAATGCTGAAGGCCCTGAGAACCAGTCTGATCTAAGCCCGATGGGCCTCCTTCTGGTGGATCCGATGAGCCTTCCTTCACGGCATAAATCCCTTCATGGCCAAACACCTCGTCAAAATTAAACTCTGGGAATTCTTCCTCCTCCTGGTTTCCTGGAATGGACGGCTCATAATCAAAGTCCTCATCCTCCTCCGCCTCTCCTGGAGGATGTACAGCCCCGTACAACTCCTCAATTCCAGGGTTTCCGGGAATCTCAGAAGGGGCTGTGACAGCTACCTTCGGGACACGAAGTGCTCCGACCAAACCATATTTCAACAGGTTCTTTCCAGTCACGCAAGCCTCGTCCTTACCATGCTCATGAGTCGGGAGGGGGCCAAACAGATCAACTGATAGAGTGAATGAGTGAGGAAAGCGAACCGACCTGTGTTGGAAGCTCACACCTGCTCCTTCCACACACTGTTTACAATCTCGTCTATATGGCACGTGTCCACTAAGAACGTGAGCCTTCCATCGTTCAAGCTCCTTTGCGGAAGGTTCCTTCATGGCGCACACAACAGGAGACGAGAGTCTCTCGCTGGACCCTGAGGGTTCCTGTGACGTGGACTCCCCAGATGAGTCAGCCTCCTCGGTTGATGCTGCGGAGTCTACCCTTGTCGGAACCACCTGAACAGACGTTGGAGATTGTGAGTACCGTGCGCGGGACTCAGTGATGCAACGGTCCAACTCCTCAAGTCTCGGGCCTACGTACTTCCCCTGCAGGGAGCTAACGACGCGTTCCCTCATACCTCTGTTCCAACATAGATCATCTGAGACACCCGGACCACCTGAGGAGGTCTGTTGGTGCAATCGCTGAAAGTGCTCACTTGGAAGGTTGGTTCCCACAATGAGGCACCCCTTGGACTCACCCCTAGACTGACCCAGTTCCTTCAGATTAGCCCACTCCTTAAAGTGTCTCCAAGCCCAGGTTTCCCCAAACTCACACCTACCCCTGTCTGGGTCACTGCCAAGGAATGTCTTAACAAACGGAATGCCCATGCCCCTTGAGACCGAGGCCAGAGACCACAACAACAGATCCTGAACTATCATCAAGTTCTCCTTGTCCACCCACTGGCCTTCACCCCTATGAGCCCAAGGGTTACAACCTGGATTGATCATCGCCGGACTCCACGTCTTGGTGGGGGAGGAAGAGAGGATGGCCGTAATCCTGCCCGTGGCAGCTGCCCACAATAGTGTTCTCCAAACGCCTTCGTTGGCAGTGAGATCCCAACCGGCACCCCCACTACTCCTCACATCCACAGTCAACACCTCACAATTTACACCACTAGCCCATTCCTTAACTGGATCACCAGGTAGACCCTCACCTGTTTGCAACATAACAACCCATCGGTTAGATCTCAGAAGAGCCTTGCGCCTCGCGCGACATAAGGGGAGGTCCCTCATCAGTCTACGACCTGAAAGATCGTCCAGGCCTGGCAGCTCCTGTGCTAACCGTACCTTCACTGGCTCAGGTACATCCCTTAGATAGGGTTGTGCAAACACTGCCCTCAACAAGTCTCCCCTGGATCCCGTAGAGATAAAGTTCTTCAATGCAACAGTCGCGTCCAAGGGCTCTGCCATGGATGATAGCTCCGCCTCCAAAGCTTGAACCTTATCCTCAAACTCTTGCAACCTCTTCATTTCAAGTTCTGTTATCAACTGAACCGCCTGCTCCTCCTGAAGGTATGGGCACGTGTTCCTTGATACACCGGTACGTAACAACCCGAGCCGAGGATGGTATACCTTCAAGCCTCCCCGCTTGCTCCAGCTTATGCTACACCCGAGAGCCTCTACCAACGCTCCTAAGGGAACTATCGTTTGAGGAGACGGCCCAGCACCTGAACCCGAGGATACCGACGGGGGAACAACCAGAGTCCCGCCCTTTGTCCGCAACCAGGATTGTTTCGAGTCTCCTGCCAGGGTAACTGACACCTGTTCCAAGTTCTGAAACCGTTGGTCAAAAGGGATTACTGCGTGAGTAGCACCACTATCCAGCAGAGCCCGTGGACCGTCATCATTTCCACATCTCACCTCCTCCACCTGGCATGCCCTCAACTCATGTGACCTTGCCATGGCACGTAGGCTCTCGAGCTGGGCGCTCAGTGCTTCCAGGGTGACCGGCGTGCCCGCCCGCCGTAACAGAATTTGCAGCGTGAGAAGATACTGTGGAGACACCAGCCGGAGGGCTGGTAGGGGTACTTATCGGTACTGCAGGGACTGGCTGGGTCTCGGTGTTGGGAAGGCTTTGACTATGCAAAGAGGCTGCATCTGCCAACATGGACTTTAGCATAGCATCCTTGCTCGGCGGCGGTGGTGGAATTGGAACAGACTGAGTCCCGGCTCCAATTGCCTTTGCATTAGTACTAACCCCTTTAGGTTTCGCCTTCTCTTCTTGCTTAACACCTGCCTTGCACTCGGTAGTACGATGGCCCTTACCTCCGCAATTCTTGCACCTTCCTGAGCGATCAGCAACCGGAATGGAAGACCAGCTATGCTCAAACGTGCAGTCCGCGCCCTTCTTGCAACCAGCGGGGCTCAGGTAAAAGGTACACTGCGGTCGGGTAGATGACTGAGCTGCTGACGGCGTCTTAGGGTTTGGGGGGCTCTTAGGGTTTGCCTTCGGGGCCTTAGGGGCCTTGGGACTAGCAGTTTCTTGCTCCTGGGCATCAACACCTCTAACCTTAGCAGCCTGCGATGCCCCGTCCCTACCCTTATCCCTTTCGCCATCCTTCTCCTTACCTACCTTATGCCCTATTGCTTCAAACTCCCCTAGTATCTGTGCATGAAGCTGGTCAACCTTAGAGTCGTCAGGGCTCATGTCAACTTGCAGAGAAGCACGCATCAGATTAACTCTGAAAGACACATCTGGATATGCACTAAGGGGACCCTTAGCTATCTTCTCTAAGGCCTTAACCCTCAGCGCACAATCAGGTAGCGTGCCTCCAAGCTCCTTCATCCTCGCACACCACCTCTGCCAACGTCTCAGCGAGGTAATTGCTTCCTTCACAGTGGTGGCGGGTGATGGGTCTTGAATGTTACGCAAACCCAGTTCTCTTTCAGAAAGTCCACCTGGGGCATATATGACATATAAGCGGCATACTACTTGAAGAAGTCCGGAAACCCTTGCCGAGCTTATCTCATCCCTGATTGCCGTCGGAGCAGCATTCAACAGCATAGTCTCAATCCGACGAGACACACGGGCCCACTTGGGTTGAGTGAGGGTCGCGGAAGGAAGAGGTCGGGATGTTAGCTTAGACATCGGGTCCAACTTAAGATAGTTGCTGTACCATAAGCCGGCTTCCTGTAAAACTGTACTCCATAACTCCTCAGAGGAGTCGCTCACATCCGCCAGAGCCGGACGGCTTGAATGAATCCAGTCTGCAAACGAAAGACAGGCTTCAGGACCTGAGCTTGGAAGCTCTGGGAGAACAGCTACACCTGGCTTTATGACCTCTGGTTTATCAGTGTTCTTGGGACTATGAGCTAACTCAGATACTAGACCCTGAAGCTGAGCCATCCCCGTAAGCACTATACTCAAGGGGTCATTAGGGTTAGGGTTTCCCTGTAGGGTAGTTACCCCATCCGGGCCAACCTGACCTGCCGCAGCGGGCATTCTCGGTGCCGCGTATCCTGGGGCGCTGGTTGCTACTGCATACGGAAGAGGCTCCCGATCAGCGACCGGGTGCTGCACAGCTTGCACTTGCGACCCTTGGGTAACCCCTGAATCCCCACTGAAATCCAACACCCTTTGGGTAGGCTGACTCTGCACAGCACCTTGAATGCCGACGTTGCCTGCATGCCCGGTGGCATACTGCGGCGCTGCTGGCTGTGGAGTTGACTGCTCGGGTCGGGTAGGGCCGGTTGCCTGTAAGTCCACGGGCATAGTTGAGGAGGGAGCTGGCTGACCGGGTGCGGGGCGTAAGTCCAGGGCCCGAGTAGGAGTTCCTTGCCTAGCCCCTTGACCAATAATAGATCCCAAACCTCTACTTAGCCAACCTAGTCCCGAAAACCCGACTTGATTCTCCGACCTAGACAAAGAATCCCTACCATCTCCAAGCAATCTTCTCTTGAGCTCCTGATTCTCAGAAGCCAAATAATCTAACTGAGCTCTAAGGACTCTACTCTCTTCATCCCTAATGCTCATGAACTCAGAAAGCTGTCTTCGCACTTCAGCTTGTATGTCACTCGACGGCGTAGATGACATTGGGTCCGCTTGAACACCAGTCTGATCTGCCACCGAATACAAGTGGGGAGCAGCTTGGCTCATCCTCTGAAGACGATCAAACGACTGCTGATCAAACAGTGGCGTCTGAGGAACTTGTCCCGCAGACGGAGGACGATGATCCCTTTCAGGGCTCCCTGACATAGCCGAAGCATAGCCAGCCTCCTGATCCTGAGTTCTCGGTGGTGTATTGGAGACCTGGGCCTGTAGAGCCTGAACAGCCCTGACCATCCCATTCAAGAAAGACATCGATCCACCCGCGCTCGCCTGCTGCTGAGCACGGATCTCTGTCACTACCACCCCAGGTTGCGAACCAGTGGCACATCCGCCGTAGCTAGCAACCGCAGGCTGAGACAGCTGAGCAGTCGAACCCACTCTGCCTTCAACGTGTCCCGGCTGAGCAGCTGACTCAACGCCACCGCTTCCAGGCACACTAACTCCAGTCACCACTTCACCATCCATGTCATGAGGACCTCCGGGCTGACCAACGACACCGTTCAACACGGGGCCTTGTGCCGGCAGTCCTGGCGCTTGCGCACCTAGCGAATTGGGCAGCATAACCTGCTGATCATCAAAGTCTTGGGTGTTCGGGTTGTCGTTAAATGCCATGGCTCAGCGCAGCAGAATCTTTTCCTACTAGCGACAAGCGAAGCTTCAAGCTTACATATGCCTGAACATCCTTGGCTGACGATTCGACTAACCCATGTCCAGACTCATGGAGCTCTGCTCCACTTCAGCCTTCATGCAAGCGGGTGTCACGCAGTCAGGCATGCTACCCACTTCAACAGTCCCCAATATAGTACGGCACCCCTAAACCCTAAACCCTAAACCCTAAACCCTTATAAAAAAAAGACCCTAAAAGGGACCCTAGTTTAGAGAACCACCCACCGTGCAAGAAGATTTTTCCAGTCGGTTTAGGGGCTTCTCAGTTCAGGATTTGGGGCTTATGGCCTGGAGATCATGATTTGTGGGTTTAGGGTTTAGGGTTTAGGGTTTAGGGTTTGGGGTCTAGGGTTCAGGGTTCAGGGTTCTGAATCCAAAGCCCCTTGTTTATTGAAAGACCAGGGCTAGCAGCTTAACGCTCGACTTTGGAATTTGTGGGAGGATATAGTACGACTGCAGGGCATCATTTGGGAGATTCGTTCAGCTGGGATTGCTTGTTATTGCTTGGAGTTGCAGGGTAGGTCAGGGGGCTTTAACCTCGCATGAGCTTCAGAGCCCCATCCCTGTTCAAGCAGAACCTGAACCTGTCGGCTTTATAGCGTTTAGGAGGGTTTAGGGGACTATAAGATGTAGGATGTACTTGGAGGATCATGGGACTTAGTAAGTAAGGGTTATAAGTCCCCTAATTGGGATTATAAGTATAGTTACCTTAATTATAACCCTACTTACTAAGTCCCATGATCCTTTACTTTAAGTAAGGAGTACCTCCAAAAGCGTACCGCCCTAAACCCCCTAAACCATAAACCTCTAAACCCTAAACGTCTAAACCCTAAACCCCGAAGCCCTAAGCCCTAAACCCCTAAACCCTAAACCCCTAAACCCTAAACCCTAAACCCCTGACTTGGGCTTCAAGATGCTGTGGCTTAGGGTGAAATTTGGGGAAGCAGGGGGCTGCCGCACACAATTCAATCTGTTGGCTTCGAGAAGGCCACAGAGCAAGCATGACGAATCTCAGTGGTACATTGCGGTTTAGGGTTTAGGGTTTTAGGGTTTAGGGTTTAGGGTTTAGGGTTTTAGGGTTTAGGGTTTAGGACCATAATGAAACAGTGGTACGCATACTTCTTATTCACTTCATTCAGAAGCACCTAAACCCTAAACCCTAAGCCCTAAACCCCTAAACCCTAAACCCTAAACCCTAAACCCCTAGACCCTAAACCCTAAACCCCTAAACCCTAAACCCTACTGCTTAGAGTAGTGATGTGGCCAAGTAAATACACAGGCAGCAGCCGTGAAGCTGGAGAACGACCGTCTGCGTGAGGAGATAAGGCGCATCCAGCTTTGGTTTAGGGTTTAGGGTCTAGGGTTTAGGGGCTTTTTTAGGGGCTTTAGGTTAGGTATAAACGTCTAAGTGCATAGCGGGGTTTTGCGCCTATTTAGCCTCAGGATTTGCCTTGGGGGCTGTGCTTTGGGAAATCGCGGTTGCTGCGGCCTTGCACTGTCTAACGGTTGCAAGGCGACGGCCAACATGTGTAAATGCCATTCCCTTTCAGGTGGTTAGGTGGTGCCCTAACCCGAAAGTGTAAGCCCTAACAACTACCGAACCCTAAACTAAACCGCACACCCCCAAACCCTAAACCCTGAACCCCTAAACCCCTAAACCCTCCACCCTAAACCTTAAGCCCCAACCCGTAAGTCCTGCACCTCAAGAGCCGTAATCCCCCAGGTCCAAATCTGGAAACTAGTAA